AAAAAAAAAAAAAAAAAAAAAAAAAAAAAAAAAAAAACAGAAACTGAATAGTTTATGCTAAATTAATGGAGAGTGGCACAGTATTAGAAAGAAAGAAAAGGAAGTAAAAGTGTTGTGATATGAGAAACCTTGTTGAACCAGGGATCGTGGAGTATGTCAGCACCGCGTTTGTGAACAATGCAGGGACCGGGAATCGCGGCGGAGAAGCGGCGCGATCGGGCGACGTTGGAGGCGGCAGCGAGACGCGCGAGTTTCCACATCCTCTTCTCTGTGTCCGCGTGCGTGCGTTGGTACTACTGACTACTGAGTTTAGCTTAATTTTGTGGAGAAAAATCACCGGCGTCTGCTACTGTCTTTTCCTTAGGTGCCACCACTTTTTCCCCACATAATTAAACTCTGCAAGCCGGTAATTTTTCATGTGGACGCAGCGACCATTTATAGTGCCACAAACAACAAGTGGATCTGTTCAACTTGAATCTGTACGGACGCAGATATTTTACTTATTTATACACTGTTAGAATATTTGTTATTTTATAATGTTTAAATAATATTTTTTAATTTTAAAGATTAGCGAGTAATTTTTGAAAAAAATTAAAACTGTATATAAGGAAGAGATAGTATTAGAGGTAAACATTAAACCGATACTGAACCGAACCTGAAAAATCCGATAAAAAATATTATTTTTGGGTGGGTTCGGGCGGGTCTTATGAGTAAATCAAGTTAAAATTTTGATTTTATATAAGTTATATTAGGTGGGTTCGGTTTTGAATTTTTAAACCTGCTAAAAACCGAACCTGACCGAAAATGAGATAAGTTTAAATTTTTATTACTCTTGTATAACTAACCAACAATGGTACAAACTTAAAAGTCTTTATTTCAAGTATAATATAGTCATCAATTTGTAACTTATTTTTTTCCTTTTTCTCATAACTTAAATGTTTATTTTGTCTTCTGCTTCCTCATTCAATTTCTCAACACACTAGTCCATTTTTAGAGTTATCTTTTTGCTTCTTTCTTTGTCTTTTCTTTTCCATCTTCTTATCTCCATTTTGAGTACAATTTGTGCAACTGTGATTTCTTATGGGTTTTGTAATCTAACTTTAGATTTCTTTTGTATGTAACAACTATGAATTTTGTTATCTTTTATTTTTGCTTCTTTAGTTCGTAAATATTTTAACTACGAATCTACTTACACCATATATTGTCACCTTCATTTTATTTTTATATACTATTTTAAAAATATTTTTTATCAGCTTAATCTTCATTAAGATAAATTGGTTTATAAAAAAATTCAAACCCGATTGTACCCACCCGCTCAAATCCGAATTCATTTCAACCCAAACCGCCTCAAATTGAAAGTTTAGTCGATCGGATATAGGTCACATTTTTTCAAAGTTAATTTACAACAAATTGAACATTTTTCACCCGAACCCGACCAAACTCACCCGTTGTTCACCCCTACATGAATGTATGAATAAGCGTGGGACATGGAGATGGTGTTGAAGGTCAATTTTGGAATGAAACGGTGAGCATAGGGCACATGCGGTCCTCTCATACCTACCTACTTCAAAGTGGAAAGGTTGATAGCCTTGCTTAATTTACTATTTTCTCCTTCTTTTCTTTTTTATCATATGAATAGGTTTGGACCAATTGAGTTACTAGTCTGATTCACTTCTCATCCAACAGCATACTTGGAAAGCTTCAATATGACTTTTATTTCTTAGTTTAGTTAATGTAACACATTCAACTCATATCACTATTTGCTTGGGGTAAAATTTGGCTCATACAATAACTTATGTAGCCCACACAATTCAACTCCCATATTATAATTTATAACCCTTGATGCAATGAATGCTGAAAAAGAACAATAACCACAGATCTATGAACAAAGTGATACTTGTGTAATCTGTGATGTTACTATGTCGACCTCTTTCTCTTTTCAAATTGCAGTTAAATTACGTGAACAGAGACATTCAGGTTCTTTCTTTATGATCTTTGTCTCGTCATGTGGCAAAAAACAAGTTGTGCTCCACTTTTTCACCTTCAAATGTTTCCTTTTTTGACAACTTTGTATAGATTGTGCATAGTTTAATTTCTAAGCGATCAAGTTAAGAATATGCCTTTTTCACATTAAGGCCCACAACCAACCTTTTTCTATAATTTGTTAGTTGTCACTCAAAAACACATACACATACACATACATTACAAATAAAACGGTTCTCACCCTCTCCAGTTAATTTTTTTTGAAAACTATATACAATAGATTCATTAAATATAGCATTAGACTCACTATTAAATTTCAATAAATTTCATTCAATAAAAAAATATATATCTAAAAAAGATATGTCAAATAATATGTTTCATAGGATTTCTTTACTATTAACATCTGTCTACACAAGTAATAGCTGATAATTATTTATATTTTTTAATTAAGTTGTCTAATTTTAAAATTACGACTATATATAAAATAAACTATATTAAAAGAAAATATCATCTTGAATATGTTTATATCAATGATAAATAGGAATAAATAAACTCATACGTAATACTTGAATACAATATATAATCTGACCGGATATAGATACGAATAATATTTGATTTAATTTACAGGGACAAGGATGAGTATATATTTATCTGTCTCATATCTACTATACCCGTATCCACTTTAAATTTCTAAAAATTTAATTTATTTTAAAAAAAATCACTTAACATTTATGTAATCTTTATTATATTTTAAATTTATGTCAAATAAAATTTAATTGATATAATTTTATAATTATTATTTTATGTTAATTTTTTTATATATTTTTTTGCAATAAAATATAAATTCTAACTGAATACAAATATATCCTATATCCCAACAGAGACAAAAATGGAGCCGTTATATATGAGATAAAAGATGAATACAAGACATACAAAATTAGTAAAATTGGAACTTATCCCCGCTCCATTGTCTTTGCTATTGATAGACAATAGTCACTTTTTTTTAATCTATAATAGATATTCCATTCTATTATATCGTGATCAAAAGAATATTGTTATACTAAACAATAAACGATACTGGTACAAAAATAATTGGCATTGGAATACATTCGACATACTATAAAATAACCTATTTATATGTGGCAGTCAAAATTGGGTGGAAGAACAAACCCTTTTTTATGTACATAATTAAAAGAATTAGAAGACAGAGCATGACGTTTTGCATGAAATAAAAGAATTTGATTCCATCAGAGGAATGGATGGAGATGGCTTCATCCATCTAACCAAATCTGTTAGTTCCATTCTCTCAGCTCATTCATAAGTGGGCATAAATTCCGGTCAATACATCCCATAAGTCTTTTTCTCATATAATATAAATAATTTAGAGCTGTCAAAATGGGTTTGGCCCGGTGAGCCAACCCGGCTCACCACAGGTTCGAGCCGGGTTAGGTTGAAAAAAATTTAAAAATTTTAATACGGGTCAAATTTGAACCCGGCTCACTAACAATCCGGCTCACCCGGGTTGAACCCGTGGTGAGCCGGGCTGGCCCACCAACCCGTGATTAAATTTTTTTTTGTTGAAAAAATACAATAATTATTGGGGCATGGTGCAGTCCAACATGAGACAATAATGATTTAATGTTGGATTGTGATTTGTAATTTTTATGATTTTGGATTGTATTTGAAGTTTAAGATGATTTTGAATTATATTTAAAGTTTAAGATGATTTTGGATTATATTTATCTATTTGAGATTATTTAGATTTGATTTGATTGTATTTAAAATTATCATTTAATGTTTAAGATGAATGATTCATTTATGGATGTCTTAATTAAGAATCTCAGATTTTTAAAATAAGTTTAAATTTTTGGGCTTTAGTTGTATATTAAGAAAAAAAATGAAAAAAATTATTTTTTTTAAAGGTGAGTCAACCCGTTTAACCTACCAATCTATGGTAGGCTGGGCCGGGTTTGATTTTTTTGAGCTCACTAATAAATGAACCAAGTTGGGTTGGCTCACCAAATAGCCAATCCGTAATGGGATGGGCCGGGCTGGGCCGGGTAACCCGTTTTGACAGCTCTTATTACTACTTAATACAAATATACAATATGCCTGTCTAATGAAACTTTTGATTATTATACATTAAAATAAAAAAAAAGATGGACCAGCCTGTATTGCTAAGGGTAATTTATATTCGGGTTCCTTATAGTTTCGAATAATGAAAATTCTTGTTCAAATTTGTACAACTTAACTTAAACTTAACCTGACACGGTTTAAATATGTTTTTAGGCTTTTAAATTTATTTTTGATCTCTTAAATTTAGAATTGTTATTTTTAATTCCTGAAATTTTAAAAAATTTTAGTTTAGTTTTTATATTCAAATTTTGTTAAGAAATTTATCAAATATTATTGTATAAAATCTACTTATTGATATTTCTATTAATGAAAATATCACATTAAATTTAGTTGATATTATATAATTGTCTTAATTAGTCATTTTAAATATGTTATTTGTGATCTAAGAAATTAAAACAAGATTTTTGACAATTACAAAGATTAAAAATAATAATTTTAAATTTGAAGGACTAATAACCAATTTATTTTAAATTTAAAAGGCTAAAAACATATTTAAACCTTAATATATTATACCAACGGTACTTATGAAAACAAAAGATTAATTTTCCACAAACAATGGAGTGACGAACTAGCCTTCTAATATCTGCGGAAACAAATGTTTATACTTAATATCCGACCGTTTATCCGACTATTATATATATATATATGGTCACCGTGTTTGTAAAATTGATGATAAAAAATTAAAATATATTATTACAGTATATTATGAATTTAATTTAATATTATATATTATAAGTTAAATATATTTTTAATCTTTGTAAAATGAATGAATTTTTATCTTGATTTCAAAAATTTTATTTAATTCTTCCAAAATTTATAAACAATGTTTTTGGTTTCCGTAGAAGAAATAAATTTTAATTTTAATCTTTATAAAATATTTTTTTAGAAATGTCACATGTACATAAAGTATTATATATATCGGTAAATACTATTTAGAACGATCACATAAATTTTTAATAAATACATAAGTAGTTCAAAAAAAAAAGTCACATAGAAGTAAAACAGTAATTTCAAATTTTAGAATGATAAAAAGTAAAAATCTTTTTACTAGAACATGAATTAAAATATGTTCATTTTACAATTAAAAAAAAACATATGTAAGCTATATTATATTTAAACAATCAACATTTCATATAATTCTCTTTATTTTTTCACTTTTAAATTATATATTCTTTTATTTTTTTTATAATATTTTCATGTCCACCCTCTTTATATTTTGTTTGTGATAAAATATATTTTTAAGTTTAAAAAATATAGCAATTTTTGGTTTTAGTCTTGTTTTATTTGTTTTACATAATTTTTTTTTTTTTTAATTTGGTGATATCATCTTATCATATTTTAAAATGAAATAATTAAAAGAATAATATACATTATTACTAAGTAATATTAAAGACTATTTTTTTATCTTTTAAAATTTACACGGATTAAATCTTATATAAAAAATTCAGTAGCCAAAAGAAGAAAAAATAATAACATATTCATAAAGACTAAAAATATTATATATTTTTCTGATCTTTATTAAACATTAATTTATTTTATATAATACTCCGTTGTAAAGGTTAATGAAGAGAAAAATGAGAATTTTCTAATAAGCCATTTTTTTTAATTATAGCGTAATAAATTATTATTTTAAAATAAAAACTTCTTATTTTAAATTTATTAACCTATACGTGTGGAGCATATGCTTGGTTTTAATGCTGCATGCTTATGTCACTCGTACTGCCTTTGTTCAGTTTTTAGTATGTGTTTGTATTATAATTAGACAATTAAGTTGAATTGAACTTAATTTTTTTTAAATTTAAGTTTAATTAAAAATGGGTTTAATTTAATTTGATTTATGTTTAGATATATTTATTTTATAAGTACTTTTATTAAACTAGAGATTTGTTTGGATAATAGTAGTTAAAAATATTTTTAAATGTGTAATTACTAAAATATATAAATTTTACTATATAATACGAATATTATTTAGGTAATTATTTTTTATTATATTTGAATTGTTAATATATTATTATTGTTGTTGTTATTAAAAATGATAATAATATTATAAATTAAATTACAAATAATACTTAAATACTTTCATAACAACTGAATAACATAGGGGTCCAAAAGAAACAAATAATCAAATAAACACTATTAATAAAAATAAATAAAAAATAATTTCAAGTTGTTAAATACATATAGAAACTTCTAAGAATTTAATAGATATTAGTGTTTTATATATTAGACAATCAGATATTTTTAGTAAAATAATGTATTGTATACATAACCTGCTAACTCAAAAGCAACATCTTACTGCTTTGGTTGAAACGTGCTTTAAAAATATCATTCAACTTAACTGGAAAAAATATATCAAACAAATTGATTCAACGTTCAATAATAAGTGAATGTCCGTTTAACTGTTTAAACGCTAAACCAAACATAGCGTTAATCTTGTGGCTGTTTATTTTCATCTTTCCTTTTTTCTTATTTACTCCTTGTAACCAAAAAAATATTCATATGGTTCATTTAATTTGTTATAAATCATGGTATTGAATGAGACAACATAATGGTTCTTTATTTGATTTTAAAAAAGTTATCAATGGAAAATTAAATAAAGAAGAACAAGATAAACACTTTTCTTTTCTTTCAATAAACTATGAAACAGTTTTTTTTTTTTTTTTCCAACTCTTAAGTACAAAATGCTTAAAAGTCTAAGGATTTCTTTGGATTAACAATTTAATTATTTTTTATTTAATAAATTTTTACGTAATAAAAATTTATGCTATAAGTACTACAAATACTTATACAATTTTGAAGTATTTGAATATTTTATTATTTAAGCATGTTAACTTGTTTTTTTACTCATTGTAACAAAAAAAAAAAAGATGTTAACTTGTTTTGCAAATTAAAAAACTTAAAAATTGAATCTTGATTGGAAATAAACTAAAAATTGAAAAAGTAACTAAATAATTATTGAAAATGATATTATATATAACAATAATATTAAAAATTTAAAAAAATTACTAGTCACTTTTCACCTAATTTTAGTTTATACAAATTAAATTAATTGTAAAAATATGAGACATCAATTATATATATAATCATAATTAAAATTTAATAACCATAAATTTTAAAAAAAATTAAAAATGATTTCAACCATGGATATTTCTCAATAAGTTTCTACATGAATTAAGTAATAGACTGTATTAAACAACTTATTACAAGAAACTCAAAACATCTTATATTTAGTTTATAAAAAAAATAATTTAATAATAAAATATGATAAAAAAAATTATATATATAACCATGACTAAAAATAAAGATTCATAAACTTTAAAATAAAAATGAATTTGAATGAGTATTTTTTAATAAGTTCCTGCAAAAGTTAAGTAATAAATTATATTGAACAACTTATTACAATAAACTCAAAATATCTTATAAACTACCTATAAGATATTTTATAAGTTTGTCAAAACATATCTCATAAGCATTTAAAATAAGTTAAATACAAATAAATTATTCATAAACATTTTTCAACCAGAAACTAAAACATTCACCATTGTCACTACATTGTTACACCATTATCACCTTGCCCCTTACCAGTTACCACCACCACCTCTATCATTAACATTGTAGTTACTACTATTGCAATCACTTTAGACAAAATCATCATCATCATTATTGCTTTCCATATCATCGATGCATAAGTTCTAGCTACAACAAAACAATAATATTTGTTATCACATCTAGATTTTTTTTTTCTTTCATAAACATAATTTATACAGTATCTCAAAATTGATAATCAAAGATTAATATATACTCACAAAATATAATTTTTACTAATCAAACATTATTTTAACACAAAGAAATCAAATCTAGAAACACCAACTCTACCTGTGTACCTCAGGACAAATATTAAAACCACTAGATCAAGAGATTTAATTTAGTACATCTAGATTGAATAGGCATTATTATTCTTGTATGCTGGTTTACTTAAAATAAAATCCTAAAATAAGTTACATTAAACACTTTGCAATGTGATTTTATAACTAATTATTTCAAACTTGTAGTATTTACTTGTTAGGACTTTGGGAAGAGGGAGTTAGAATATTAGTTATACTGAGTTAGTAACATAAATATAAATATATAGAAGAACTGAAGGGGAGGGGGGAGGGAATTCATTCATATCTATTTATTTGTAGATCGAGCAATATCCCTTTGTGAAAGGAGAAATACTTTATTCGGAAAAATCCTTGAAAGGGTTATCTCTCATATTTTCTGTATTTTTGCAATACAGAAATCTAATCATTCTTTTCTTTCTTCTATTAACATTACTTGTCAGCTGTCTCACATTTCCATGCATCTTAATTTGAATGAGAACATGACATCGTGACTATTTGATTGGAAAAGAAAAAGATATGGTGAATATACTCTTTGTTGATTTTTCTTCCCAGCAAAAATTACCAACCCAAATTTGTTATTCAAAACATTTGACATTTGCTAAATGAAAAGTAATAAAGTCCAAGAGTCCCTGCGCCTGGTCACTGCATCTAGAAACACTGGAATCTTCGAGCATGACTATTACGTGATAACTATAAAAGATTACAATGGATTTCCTACGATATAAATTATAAATTCATTCATATGATCACAACCACTACTCGATACAGGATACTGTATGCGATATATTCGAACACATTCAAAGATCTAAAACTAGGCAGGAGAAACTACAGACGCTGCCTTAAGAATTCAGCAACTTATGAATTTTGGTTGGTGCAAAATTTTACCTAATGTCTCAGTTATGTATACAAAATTCTATTCATCACCGTGCTTTAGCTTTCTCTTCTGCTTTCTACGCTGATCATGCAAACCTGGAACAACATACCATAATTTTTAGTTTTTTTTTTTTTATTGACTAGAAATTAGTAAAAACTTGCGTTCTTGACTAATAAATTAAATAGTAAGGACTAAGGATAAGATATTTAAGACTAAAAACTTGCGTTTCTTCTCCTCTTTTCGCTTTCTTTTTAGATTCTCCACATTTCTCTGTTTTCCTGCCAAATTCTTGACATCCATTCGCACCTGAGAGCAAAGAGGGTGATAAGTCAACAAATTTGATCACACATCAGATGATAATTGGGTTTAAAAATAAATTTTAAACTTAGAAATTAGCTTTAGTCCAAGTTTGTTTGTGTTGGTCTGATGATGTCTTTAATTTTATTTTTTTTCCAGTTCCTTTTGTTAGTACGTTTTATCATTAGTTAGATTGTTTGTTCAAGGAATTTAATGTGTTTTTGGTTATGTAAGCTAATTACCAAGGGAAAAGTAACAAGTATGAGCCAATGCTAAAAAAGTGAATACTTGAAGCCACTGCATTGGAATTAAGCATGGATTACTCTGACTATCATGCGGCATGACATCCAAACTCAAATCCCAGTGGCATGGCACTCAACACTGAAGCAAAATTTTCTTTCTGACTAGTGACTATCTAGAGTCAGAGCATCAAAATGCAGTGTGATGGCATTAGGGTGAAAATTCACTATTATAAAAGAGAAAGAGTCAAAAAAAAAAAAAAAAAAAAAGAGGAATAAGCCTCCCAAGGGATTTTCACAGCTGCAAAGCCAGGGAACCACATTTTGGAAACTCTAGTCTTGCATTTCCTTTAGCTTATTAGTTATTAGAGTTATCAACAATCAAAAAATGCTCCTCAAGCCTGATTGACAGGTTGCAGTCCACTTTACTGAAGTTTCAGTTTAGGTCCAGCAGATGTGTCCCTTCTTTATTCATATATTTGCAGGATTCTAACCTTGCCCATGTGTTAGTTTTGTGGATGACATAATTTTTGCAGGCAACAATCCTGCTCTTTTTCAGAAGCTGATTTTCCAAACTCAATTCAGTATTTTCTTCAAAGAAATTGGGTGACTTGGACTTCTTCCTTGGCAATTGGCATTGAGGTCAAGCCTCAACCTGATGGACCCTAGTCAAAGGTCAAAGGTCAAACGGTGTTTTATCTATGAAGTTCACGGATTCATAATCAAGTGAAATTGGACCCTACTGTTTTTATATTTATTTATGCCTTCTTAAAGTTTGTTTAAATTCCTAAAAGAAAAACCCAAAAAGATTTAATTTGCTTAATTACTTTTTTATGTTTTTAGCTGCTTTGGTACCATATATAAGTCTGGATAGTTGTTCAACTTGGGAAGTGGTACCTAGACATAAACCCTATTTGGATAAACTTTTCAATAGAACTTACAGAAGAAAATAAGGAAAAATAGATTGACCTTTTCTATACAAGTTAAAATCAACTTGTGCAATTTACTTTTATAGAATTTCTCTCATCTAACTTCTCCAAAAGCTTAAGTGTACAAATTGTTTTTAGCTTTTAGGAGTAGCTCAATTCAATTTACATTTTTATTTTCTTCTATAATTGTTTGTGAAGAAATTTATCTAAATAGGATCATAGTTCTTGTGAACAATACTTGGTAGTAACCATTTTACTCAACACAACTCTGTTCACTTGGCAATTTCCCAGTGTTAGCAAGGGACAAAAGCAAAAACAAAAAGAAAATTAGCTCAATCTCAAAGTGTATGTTTGGGAATGCATTTGACACAACGCGAAGGGCATTTTTCACTTTCCAAAAGCAAAAAATGTAGAAGCAAAGGGGGAGTTGCTTTAGATTGAACGTGCATTTATTGGAGTTGAACTCCAATCCAAACACACTGAAAGTAAGTTGAATATTACTCTTCTACTAAACATAAACTAGACTCCATTTTTCAAATAATGAGCTTAATTTGATCCACCGGTATTATTAGAGTTTAATTGGATAGAGTTTTCCAAAGTCAATAAAGAAGGGAAAAAAGGAAGAATAACACAATTTTCACAATGCTCTTTTTCTGCTGCATATTTGCCATTTACAACATTATGACATAATAGAAATAGACAATAAAGAAAAAGCATCCTCAATTTACACATCAGACAGGCAAAATCTCATATTTAAAGGCATAGTGTTTTCATCCATGACACAAAGCAGAAAAAAAATGCTAGTATGAAAAATGGTAAAACATTCTATCTACCTCTTCACCAGCACTTCTAAGTGCCTGAAGTGCTTCCACACAATCTTGACCAATCACAACTAATCTTCCCTTTTTACCTAGTCCTGAACCCAGTTGATCACTTAGTTTTTGCCTTGCTAATTGCTGCAACTGCTCCTGCATGAGGGGTGTGACACCAGCCTGAAAAGAGAGAGTATTACATTAGAGTTTTGTCCTCAAACATCAAGGAAAAAGTTGAAAGGAAAAGAAACAAGGGAAAAACAAGTTCCAAGTAATGTTCGTCTAATCCATTTTAAAATATTAAGGCATCTCGTTTTGACATTTATCAGTAAGCATGACATCCTGATCCAACAGAAAATGCCAATAATCCTTTCTTTACTAGAAAGGAAATATTAAGCTTATCCAGGCTGCAACAGAGGCAAAAAATAGATAAGAAAATAATAACACTTTATTTTATTGAAGACAATGGTTTATGGAACACATAGGCCACCATTCTGGTGGCGTGGTAGAAGTTTTTAATTCCTTACATCTTCAACCTCAACTTGGAACTTCATCTCAATTACTAGTAATAATAATATAGAAAGCCAAACCCAAGATCCCACTATATATATGCAATTCTGCAGTATAAAATATTAACATCAAGGTCCTTATGCTCTACCTCCTGCCTTCCCCTGTAGACAGACAATCACTATGCCACTTCTAAAAAAAGCAACAAAAAGTAAGTGCCCGTGAATAAAAACAATAAGAATATTACCCCTGCTAAATACCGATGCGAAAATGTTTTTGATTGTAATGGACGTGAAATCAGCATCTTGAGCTCCTGCAATTTGTAAGGTTTGAGAAGAATTAAATAATTTGGAAACGTGTGGGAAATAATGACTATTCAACATTTCATTTTTTTCTTTTTCTTTTTTTTACAAAAAAAGTGAGCATCAACCTCTTGCAATTTCTTCAATTGTCTAGAGCTGGCCTTCTTTTTCTTATGTTTGTTCACTTGTTCCTCTTCACTGTCATAATTTTCTGTAACTAATTCCACTGAGGTAGCATTCCGATCAAACCAGTTTTTCTCAGCCTTTTCCTATAATAAGAAAAATAAAATTCACACATAAAAGATCACATATCTGGCCAGAAAAAGTTGAAAGGATTAAGATAACCTAACAAATCTACAACTATAACCATTAGACTCAATCACAAATCACTGGATATTGAGATGGTCTGAAAGGATGTAACCAAGCAACACAGAAATTTAACTGTTTAACCTGAAAAAGTAAGGACAAACAAGAAAAAATGCCAGAGCTAGTAATTGAATTTGAAATCATTTTAAATCATATACACAAAATGACAAATTCCAGGGTGACTTCATTTATTTAAGTAACTAACACGGGTTGCATGAATAAAGTCCAAAAGCTTATCAGTATGAATTCAGGTGAATCTGTATACCTGGGAATCCTTCCTTGTTATCTTGTCTATTTGACGTGCAAGAGACAATCGTTTTAGGACCTCTGGCATGAAAGAGTTCTCTAGAGGAAACCGCTGAAAGGTATCCTGTATATATGACCAAGGCAATATACAGAAATTTAAATTAATTAATTAATATGGTCTATAGGTGAAGCAAAGATATTTAATTTAAATTAATTACTGACTTATTTCAAACAAAGATATTTAATTTATTCCAGTTTCTTCAAAAACAACTAATTTTTATTAGCTGGTTTGAATAAGAGAGAACTAGAATAATAGCTACAAAGTACAACTTTAATATCTCTAGTATAGATGCTTAAATTTAAAATAAAAGAAATGTTCCAAATTCCAAAAGACACCTTAGAAAATGACTTGCACAATGAAGCAAACTTTGATGTATCTCTCGGTGATATTAAAGCAATACTACAACCTTCTGCAGAAGCTCTGGCTGTTCTTCCACTTCTATGAACATAAACCTAAAATTAAGAAACAAGATTCAGATGTCATATATAAATATAAGAATCAATCGAATGATGCATGTAGGAATGAGGTATTACATACCTCTGCTGAATGTGGAAGCTGATAGTGTACAACAGTTCTAACACCGGGAATATCAAGACCCCTTGCAGCAACATCTGTAGCAACAAGTATGCCATTTTCATTTTCACGAAAGCGATCCATGGCCTACAACAAACAAGGGGGCAAACATCAATAAAATGACGAAGGAAATATAGAAACATCTTAGCTCTTTTCCATAAATGAGAGATGATAGAGTAAACCATGATGAAGCACGGTGGATCAAAAATTACAGAGAAAAGGTCTTTGTGAGGGACAATGGAAGGTCACTTTGTAATGGAAGATTGAAAGTATCGGTCTGATACCATGTTGGAAATCAGAGGATGGGAAGGATAAAAATCATGAGCATAAGAAAAATAGAGAGAAGAATTCTCTGAATATTTCATATTGATCAAAAGATAATTCAAATGAATTAAAATTACACTTATTTATAGAGTTTGTTGGGTGTAACAAACTTTATAAAAAACTAACTAATTATATTCTCTAATAATAATGTTGTTGAGGTTTTATCAACCCATGGGCATGTCATATCCTACTTTGGAAGGGTTCACAATGCCTAGTTTTAAAATTTTGGCATCAAGGAGGCCAAAATTTGGTGACATTGAGAATAGTTTGCAGTCCTTGGGTACATTTAGTTGGAGCAAAATATACACACATCTTTAAAGATGACTCACTGCATCTCAACTTTTTATGAGACAGGATTATGTTCATGCCCTCTTTACAGATGCTCAGAAAATGGTTTTCTTGAGGAAGTTGCAATTTATGAGGTGTGTAGGGATTGGCAAATGGTTTGGCATTCATTCTATCCTGATAATGGTTTGGTGTTTAACAATTCATAAGTACAACTTAATTATTTATTATAGATGCAATACGTCTCAACAGATTCCCTCTCATGTCTAGGTTTTGACTTTTGTAGCGTGAAGTTTGCAAAAAATGGACATTTGTGATTGACACAGTATCAAAATTACTAGATAGGTTCTAATAGTCTAATACCATATTATGAACCAACTACCTCAAAAAATTTAACTAATTAGATGAAAACACATGAATGGTTTTATATTATATTTCTAACAGGACACAAACCTTTAAACGTGCACGCTGCTGCATTTGGGCGTGAAGAGTCCAAACATTGATGCCAAGAATGCGCAGTATGGAAGAAATATGGCGTAAAGCTGCAATTGACGTACAGAAAACTATTGTGCGGCCTTGTCCATGGACAGTCAAAATATAATACAAATGGGCATCTTTATCTTCTTCTCTGCATCTGCAAAAAATAATAAATGCTGCATCATCAAATAAAAATTACATTTCATGTCATGTTAAACTTTACTAATTAATTTTATCATGGATAGTTAATAAGATTATATAGGGGGCCATGAAGGAGTATCTCGGAAATTTAGCAAGAATGCTCAAACAATAAACCAAAACTCTATTTGCACAAGGAAGAATACTTGAACATAAGAGACTTAAGTTTTAGGGAGGAAAAATCTGTGTTAGTACCCACTGATACATACATACATACATACACACACACACATATATATATAGTCCGAACAGAGGTATATGCAAATACAAAAGGCTAAAAACCTAAGCCATCACATCAGAACCTAGATACAATCAATCTGTACAGACAAAAGATTAAAATATTAAGAAGCATTCCTAAAAGCATCTGCAGTGGGAGTTGCTTATAAGCAACCCCTGTGCCACATCATGCCACATCAGCTCTTTTCCACTTTATGAGTTGTTTAAATTTTAGCAAAGTTGCTTGTAGAAGCTCCAATGCTAAAATTTAAGCAACCCATAAAGTGAAAAAGAGCTGATGTGGTTGCTTATAAGCAACCCCCACTGGAGATGCTCTAACAAGCTATTCTAACAAGAATAAATAATAACTGGCCAAGGCTATGTAACCTAGAACAACAGTAAGCATAACCAAATAACATGCCACTGAATTCAAATAACAATTTCAGTCAAAAATGATTATATCACTAAAAATATGTATTTTCTAAAGAGTTAATCACCTATACACTGATAGTGAAAGTTTTTTTACACTAGCAACCAATCATATCTCTTAATAGTGCCATGTCATTTGCTCATTTGATCAAATAAAAGTAAAATAAAATAATTTAAAATATATGATTGGTTGCCAATGTAAAAAACTTTACACTGGCAGTGTATGGATGATTAACTCTTTTCTAAAATGTGAGTTCTAGTTCTAGAGTTTATATGAGTTTACATACTCAATAAATGACTCCTCAAGCTTAGCTGCTAATATAGACGGATTAGTAAGATCAATTATTGCAGCATTGGATCTCATTCCTGCACGCTCAGAAAGAGTTTCGATAGAATTCAATCCATCTGCCAATGGTTGCTTTTGTTGAATTGAGCCACGTTTTAGCTTCTTGCGAAAATCAGCAGACAGTGCAACAGTTGCTGAAAAAACAAGAGTTTGCCTTTTCTTTCTTTGGTAACTAGAAACTGTAACACAACTTTGTACATTTTGAGAATTATCTTCAGTAGAGATGTTGGACATGGGAAGCATATCAATTATTGACTGCAACTCCTTAAAATGTCCATTTTGTACCATCCGATCAGCCTCATCAAGCACAAAGAAAGACAGTGAATGTAACTGCAAATCAACATGGCTGACATCAAAAATGACTTTCAATGAAAACAATTTGTCAAGTATATTTATACATTTATTTATTACCTTGTGTGAATCCTGCATCAGTTATGTATCAAGAATAAAATAAGAAGAAAAAAAAAAAGCAAAATGATATCAAAAACCATCCAGCATGCATACATAGTCGTTAAACACTAAACAGTATAATATTTAGCTAGGAATGAGCAATATGTCACTCTTGCAATGATCCAAGTCATACCGGCATGCTTAATCATGGCTCTAATACATACATAGCACCATAAGGATCAAGAATTGCTAAGAGCCCATTATTTTAGGTTCTCGTTGTCTTCACTATCCATTTTGTTTTCCTATTTTTTTTTTCTATTTACCTGTACAGATAAGTAGCTTCCTGTTTTCTACCATAATTTCCACCTTGTCAATTATCTAATGCATTATTATTCAATATTCACAAATATAAATTCAGTGATACTCAAACTTCGTAATGCATTGCATTAGCAATTACCTCAACTAGATGTTTTTCTCCAGCTGACATAAGTTCCCATAACCTTCCTGGAGTCCCAACGACAATCTCTGGCTTTGCTTTTAAAAGTCTCTCCTGCTTTTCTGCTAAAATCCCCCCAACTATAGGGGTCACCCTAATATTAATATACTTGGCAACTGCTTTAAGATGATCAGTGACCTGAAAAGGCAATTACAGCACCTAATCATAAAATTGACCATTTCTACCATTAATGATTACTGTTGGGATCTGGAAAGCATGTTCACTATGAACATTTTCGGATTAATATCTTAATTACAGATTCCAAAGTTTTACAGGTCATCAAACTAATTTTAAAGTTTAACAACAGATCCAATGAAATCAGAAAGATGAATTTTGTAGTAACAGAATTTAATACAAGTACAGAGAAGCAAGCAAACAGAAGTACAGAGTAGCATACACATTAAAAATGAAAAATTAAAGGAAATTACAGTTAGAATGATTGATGGTCTGAAAATATCAAGCAGATGAAATTGGTTACTTGACAAAACTTCATATAAAATTTTACCATATTTCTCTTTGTTTTAGGTCATGAAATAATTGATGCAAAACCTCCTAGCCTCCTAAGTGCTGAATGTTATCAGATTTTTCACTTATTCCATTTAGTGTGTGCTAAAATATATAAAAACATCTTATCAAATCTTAGAATATCTTAAATAATCCTCTAGGAATAGTTTCCTTATTTCCTCCTTATCTCTTGGGATAGGTTACTATAGTTCCTTATCTCATCATGATTTGTTCCCTTAAATAGTTTGGATCAGTAAACAACTAAACACATTGTTAGTGCTTTAGGTTTTATGAACATATTGAACACAAAATACATTGTAATACATCTCGGTTATTATCAATAATGTATCATTCTCTTTTATCTCTCTCCCTCCTTCTATACCTAAAACTACATAATTTCAATAGTAGTGTATGCATTACACAGACCAGTAAACTATAATGATGTAACTTTCATTATTGGCACTTGTTTCAGTTTTCAAACAACACCTGAAGTTCCAGATAGTATTTTTAGATACTAGACTTTTTGTAATAGTCCACATTTTAATATAACTAGGAAAATCACCCATCCGTTATTTTAAGTGCTCTTAATATAGTCCACAGATTAAACAATACTGATTTCCACCAGGAGGCTCCATTTTGTTTTGTTCTATTAAATAACTTTGACCTACCCTTTCTAATAAAAGCTAAGGGAATCCTTTATCAACCTCATAAAACTCTGCATTGCTGTAAGTAAATCTAATCTAAGCTGCTTTCTCAGATGGAAAAGGACCATGCCTAAGTTAAATCATGAGACTTGTTTGGGTACGTGTTTTGTTTCACATTGGATTCTCCAGAATCACATTGGAATGTCAATTAACGTGATTTTAGATAAATTGTCACATGTTTGAATCTACATTGATGAATTGATTCTAAGTTGAAGCAACTTAGATAACTTTTTCATTTCATGATTTTGATAAAAAAAAAATTAGCGAGTTTTACTACTAGCTTGCTTATATAATAAAAACATTCAAACATAAATCACATCACTTCAAAATCAATTTTAACCAAAATTGAATTTCATTCAAAATCAAATTTGTCAATGCTCGTCCAAACACACTGTAACTACTATAAAACTAAATACAAGGGCACAAAAGTCCCCACTTCTCACCTTAGTCATATAAAAAATATATATATAAACCCATGTAACAATCAAGCAACTGACAATTATGAAAATGAACAGAAAACCTTGAGGAGTACCTGAAGTGCAAGTTCTCTTGTCGGAGCAATAATAAGAGCCCTCAAAAAGCCTGTAGGAGCATACTTTTCAGGTTCTTCATCACTTTCTTCAACCATATTTGCAGCCTTCTCCCTCTCCTCCAAAAGCCGTTGCAAAATGGGCAAACCAAAAGCAAGTGTTTTACCAGATCCCGTTTCTGCAGCCCCAACAACATCCTGGCACATAAGAATTCTCATTAAATTTAAAGTTAATATAGTAATCTTCAGATACAAATCAACACAGTGACTTGAAGAAGAGCTTCAAACAACCTTCCCTTGATGAGCAGCAGCTGGAATACAAGCCTTCTGTATCGGTGATGGTTCCTTGAAGCCAAGCTTGCATATTGCTTTCATTAGGAGAGGATGAAGCCTCAAATCATTCCATGCATAAAATTCAGTTTCATCAATGTCCTCCTCCCCAATATCATCCTTCACATTAGTATCCAAACCTAGAAGCAGATATGTCCATTAGCTCATCTTCGGTTGTCAACAGTGCACAAACAATTCCCATTTCACGAATCTACTAACAACCACGCCAACATACTAACACATACAAATATACACATAATTTGAAATTAATCAAAACTAGCAATTACCAGCATCTGTCTGCTCAACTTTCTGCCCTTCTTTAGCATCCTTCTTTTTCTTCTTCTTCTTCTTCTTTTTCTTCTCTTTAGACTTCACGCTCTCATCCAATTCTGCTTCAACCTCGTCCCTACAAGCACCATCAACTCCATCTTCCTGCCGCTCCTTCACATTTTCGTTCTGTTTAGACTTCTTCCTCTTGTCAACTCCAGGTTCAGGAATATTCAAACCATACGCAGCCTCATCAATCTCCTCGAGCGAAAGAAAACCTGCACGCAAAACACGCACAAAATAAAATAACAGCTAAACGGAAAATCTTAAACCCTAGAACTAACACTATTCTTCGTAAGTACAGCAATGCAAACAAAGAAATCATTCAGCTACAATACAGCCGCTTAAATCTCGATTTTAACTAATAAAATCAAAACGTTATGGAAAATTACAGCGATGGAAAAATAGGTAACGATTGGAGAAGCTAAATGGAAGGTGAATATTAGAGGAGCGAACCTCCTTCGAGTTCATTGGAGCCCATGAACATGGAGAAAGCGTCGTCGTCATCGTGTTGAGGAAGTGCGGAGTTCCACGGAAGTGAGTTGAGACGTTCGAATTCAGGGTCGCTTGCTGCTGCAACTCGCTTCCTCTTCGGCTTTCTCTGAGCTGCTGATGCTTCCATGGCAAACGGCACCGCCGCGTTCGCTGTTTCTTGTGTGTATTTATTTGTATTCGATGGACAAACAGAGCAACTGTGCATTAAGCGAAGATGGGCCCTCAAAATCTGGTTTTGGGCCTTTATTAACCTTGGTGCAACCTTGATACTCTTTTTTTTCTCCTCACTTTTTTTTTTGGTAGATCTTTTATTTATTTTTTGGTAGATTTTTCTCATCACTTTTAACAAAGATGATATGAAGAGTAATAAGTTGTTTTAATTTTTTTAAAAAAATTAATACATAATTAATAGATATTTTTTTATGGAAAAAATATAATCAATATAGAGATTAATTTTATTATAATTTCATATAAAATGAGTAATGAAAAGTAATTATTGACACACCCACCTTATTGTATTGTCATTCCTACTTCGTGACTCACTCTCTTCTTTCAAAGAAGTACCCTCACCTTCCTCTCCTTTTTCTCTTCTTTGTCATCCCTTCAAGTCTTCTTTTTCCCACCTCATTCTCCTTTTCCTCGTCTTATCATAGAGATAAAGCACACCAATGTTTACACTTGTATTCTCTCTTTTCTCTTTTGGTTGGATTTTAGCTTGCTTATTCAATCATTTTTATTTCATGCTTGTTGATTTAACGGAAGATAGTTTTCGTTAAATCAATGGTTTTCATCAAAATGTTGATACATATTACTTTTATTCCTGCTTAGTATCATGTGTGATCTTAGTGTTTATGATGTTTGAATTTTTCAAGAAAAATTGGTCAATATATTGATCTCATATGTTCATAGGAAGGTTAATAAAATCAACTTGAATTGGCATGAGTGACAAAGGATTCATGTCACAATCAAGTAACTAGTGTTTGAATTTTGACCCTTAAAAATGCAAAAAAATGTCCACCTACTATGTGTTATCTAATCTTTGAGGAAGACTAAAAATTGTCATATATATATATATATAATGACACCCTAAATGCTTAGAAAAAATTATCTCTTCTAAATGCAATCAAGGAAGTGTAGGGTATATTTACTGAATATATACATTAAACTATTAAATACTATATTTTCCAATGACATAAATATTGGTAAATAGTAATTAATTGTAAAATTTGTCAAGTGAAACATTCTCAATAATCGAAAAAAAATAAGAGGTTAATAATGTATATAGTTCATTCTTTGACTTCTCTAGAGGTGTATCAATTGCAAATTACATTTTTTGTATTTGATGTGTTTTCCTTTTTAAGAGGAGAGAAAAAGATGGAAAGATAAATAAAATAAAATAGCAAATGAAAAAAAAAAAAAAAGATACAAGAGATTTTGAAAAAAT